TTTGAAAGACTTAGTAACTCTGATCAACACAATAACTAAACACAATTACAAAGGACTCATGATGAAACATACTATCCACTTCCAGAAAGAGAGCTGATGAGTTCAAAGTACAGAATGAAGCATATTTTCTTCTCTTTCTTTATCTTTTGGACATAACTAATGTAGAAATTTATTTTGACCAATTCTATATACTTGTAATGGGTTATGTTTTTCTTCTTAGTGGGTGGGGTAATGAGAAGATGGATGGAGAGAATGTGGAACTGAAAATAAAATAAAATTGAATTAAAAAAAGAAATCAATTTTATCACAAAGTTTAATGTTGATATCCAAAAGGACCTGGTGGCAACATGTTTTTTAGGTTGTTGAACTTTTACTGATTTGACCTCTTACTCCCACTTAATGACCCCCCTCAATTAATTACTCCCACTTAACTCAATGTTTTCATCCCTTGTCAAAGGGCTAAGTTACTCAATCTTGAGTTATAAAAAAGCTTGCATTAGCACACCTATAGATTTGTGCATCTAGTTGATTTATATTAGATTTTTGTATATTGCTTTAATGTTTTCACATGATAGTAGAAAAGCAAAATCCATAAGTCATCCTAGGAGTGGAGAATCATAATTCCTAACACATCATTGTGTAAGGAAAATGATTGTTCCCCTGATGTACATTTTTTGCATACCTTGTACATATCTTTTATCTAAACCCAGATACAGGTCACTTCATGTGACCAAGAGCTAACTTTTATAGAGAATTGACCTGATAATATGGTCTGATAATATAGAATCTGGCTTTTTGACATTCTTCATCTATACTGTTTACTTCTATAAAGCATCAGACCTATACGTGATATCTTAAAATCGGATCTCCAACATCTGAAAGAGCTGACCCAGAGTTTCCCTCCTATGGCTGACAAGAAAGAGTTTACTAAATACATGTTATATCTTGCCACCACCCTAACAGGAATACATGCTAAATCCAAGCCTGAGGAAGCTGGGTTTTTTCCCCCACTTAACTTAATATTTTCCCCCCATGTCAAGGGGCTGAGGTACTCAATCTTGAGTTATAAAAAAGTTTGCATTAGCACACCTATAGATTTGTGCATCTAGTTGATTTATATGAGATTTTTATATGTTGCCTTAATGTTTTCACATGACAGTAAAATAGCAAAATCTGTAAGTCATCCTATGAGTTGAGAATCATAATTCCTAACAAGTCGTTGTGTAAGGAAAAATAAAAATAATGCAAATAAACTGGAAAAAAAAAGAATATGGAAAGAGCACAGGAAGAAGAGGTTTGAGATTAAGGAAAGTTTGTAACAAGACAGGAATTTGGGAATGAGAGGACTGAGGTGGGTGGGGATGAGAATGTGGGCAAAGGGAGAGGATTTTCACATAGGTGACCCTGTATCACATGGATTAGGAGAGGAAAAGGATGGAGGGTAAGAGTTATAGAACAAGTCAGTAACAATCGTGGTGTTTTTTTTTCTCCTCTCAGCCATGGCATTCATGTTTTCTTGCTTCTGCTACATCCTGGTGCTGCTGCTCATTGCCACACTCATCTTCTTTGCCATATGGCATATTATGGCATTTGATGACCTGAAGACTGATTAGAAGAATCCTGTAGATCAGTCCTGAAGAAGGAAACGGCAAACCACTCCAGTATCTTTGCCAAGAAAACCCCATGGACAGTATGGTATATGAGGTCACCAAGAATCAGACATGGCTAAATGAATGAACAGTAAATAGACCAATTCAATAGACAATTGTCTTGTAATCCCAGAATATCTCATCCATGCTTTCTTTCATATCATGTTTCTTTGTGCAGCAGAATGGCTTACACTGAGCCTCAATATGTCATTCTTGGCATATCAGATTTGGAGCATGCCATATTTTGGTGAACTCCTAAGATTATATACAATAGATCCAGTCCAGTTAAGTACATGCAGAAGCCACAAGGTGAAAGGATTCTATCCAATAAGAACCTGTTTTGAGGATTAGCTCATGCAATATGAGCAGTTACTTTGAAAAAAAGTTTCTATTTAAAATTATTGCCAATTTTTTAATCTGTTTAAAGACTATTTTCATATGTTATGCTTGGACAAAGAAACTCAATTAAATTGTATATCACTGAATATAAAAGGATTATGTCTGGTATTGACAGGTTTGAACTCTGTACACCCTAAAGAAGAACCTTAGTTTTCTGAATAATTGAATTAATTATTGACTGTTCTTAGTCTGTTGGAAGTTTTTGTTTACAGGAGTTTCCAGTAGCTTATTTTGGTTTTTAACAAGATATGAATTATAAATTAGCTGTAGAGATCCAGTGCTTTTGAAGGACTAAAAACTTTGTATATATGACCTTATCAGAAGCCTTAAAGGTTTCTTTATATATCATGTAAAAGATGATATGGCTATATTTGCAAAAATAAGGATGTTAGGATTTTTCTTAATATTTCAGTATTAGCCTTATATATTGGATGACCACAGAATTTCCCATAACGGTTTCATAAAATTCATACACTTTAATTCTTAAGCATAAATGGACCTGTAAATATATAATTAATTATCTTTGAAGGAATGTATTTTAAATGTTTTCATTTGTAGGAATTACTTAGTAAGAAATTCTGTATTGTAATTATTGTTACAATACAGCAATAAAAGAATTTGCAAGTTATACTTTAGATGTTCAGAAAAGAAAGTGATAGCGAACATTGTATATCCACCCTCCCATTCCTCAGTGCAATACAATAGAAGTCTAAAATTAAGATTTCTTTTTCAGTGCAGTTTCCAAAATAACTCCTTTAAGTAGCTTAATCTGAGACTATAATAAATGCATATTCATTACATGTAAAAAACCAGCTGATGATCACTAGCATTTAGAGAGCACTCTGAGAGTTGCAAAGTTTGATCCTCACCACAACCATGGGAGACAAGTACTGTTTTTACTCTCCCTGCCTTACCACTACCCCCCACCCCATTATACAGATGAGAAAACTGAGAGGTGAATGACTTGCTCTGGGTTAGATAGCTAAAAAGTAACTGAAGCTGGATTTGAACTCAGGTCTTCTTACTCCAGGCCCAGTGTTCTACTTCCCCAGCTAGTTGTCTAACAAGAATTTATTAAGTGCCTCCTATGGGCCATGCACTATGCTAAAGGCTAGGGATACAGAGAAAGGCAAAAATCATCCCTGCCCTCAAGAAGCTCACATTCTAACAGAAGAGACAACATGAAAACAACTATGTAAATAGAAGATATTTACAGAAGCAAAGGAAGAATCCCAGAGGAAAGGCATCGCTTTGAGAGGGAATTCTGGAGAGGGAAATATCCTAGTCATGGACTGACCATTGAAAAGGTGCAGAATTAAGATCTTGTATGAGGAACAGCAAGGAGGTCAGTATTAATGGATGAGAGAATACTTGGAGGGGAATAATGTGTAAAAAGTCAGAAAGACTGGTTGGGAGGGGCCAGGTTGTGAAGAACAGGGGATTAATTCTACAGGCATACCTCGGAGATATCGTAGGTTCCATTCCAGATCATTGCAATCAAGTGACTATCGCAATAAAGCAAGTAACATGAATTATTTGGTTTCCCTGTGCATATAGAAGTTATGTTTGCATTATACTGTAGTTTATTAAATGTGCAATAGTATTATGTCTTTAAAAAAATTCAATGCACATACCTTAATGAAAAAATATTTTATTGCTAAAAATGCATCTGAGTCTTCAGTGCATCACAATCATTTTGCTGGTGGAGGGTCTTGCCTTGATACTGATGGCTTCTACCTGATGAGGGTGGTGGTTGCTGAAGGTTCGGGTGACTGTGGCAATTTCTTAACATAAGACAATGAAATTTGCTGTATCGATTGATTCTTCCTTTCACTTGAACACTTAGAGGCCATTGTGGGTTTATTAATTGGCTTAATTTCAATATTATTGTGTCTCAGGGAATAGGGAGGCCTGTGGAGAGGGAGATGGCTGATCCTGGTCTGTGGAACAGTCAGAACACACACAACAATTACCAATTAAATTGGTGGAACAGTCGGAACACATGCAAAATTTATCGATTAGGTTCTCCATCTTATGTGGATGTGCTTTGTGGCACCCCAAAACAATTACAATAGTGACATCAAAGATCAATGATCACAGTTCACCATAACAGATATAATAATAATAGTAATGAAAAAGTTTTAAATATTGTTAGAATTACCAAAATATGACACTGAGACACAATGTGAGCATATTCTCAGGGCCGAGCTGAGACACTTGTTCGACACAGGGTCTCCACAAACCTTCAATTTATTAAAAAAAAAATGCAATACCTGCAAAGTGCAATAAAGTGAAACACAAGGTTTGCCTGTATTTCACTGGAGCACCAACCCTCCTTAGTTCTGTGATGGTAGTGGGTGGGCCATAGTCTATCCTCCCCCAAGCATACCTAAATACTAGGATCATAGTTTTAGAGCTGAAAGGGATTTTAGAGGCCATCTAATGCAACTCCCTCATTTTACAGAGGGAGAAACTGAGGCCAGAGAGGAGGCCTTGCTGAAAGTGTGACTTGCCTAAAGTCACATGGATAGTTAAATTGGAAGAGATGGGATTTGCACGGTACCTAGACAATACACCACACCACACTGCTTCCCCCAACAATGTCATTGCCTGGGTCATTAACTGTTGACCGGCAGCCACTTGGGGGCAAGATGCCATAGGAAGAGACCCAGAGTTTGTGAAGTCCGGCTGCGAGGAGGTAAAGGAAAAGGTGACCCCACCCATTGTGAAGAAAGGGAAGTGGGGGAAGGGTGGGTGAGAGTGATGTCATAATTCAGTAATATTATGAAAAACCTTCCTTAATTCCTTCCTTCTTAGTCTCCCTCAGCTTAGGCCTGGTCTCCTCCAGCTCCAGCCCAGATAAGCCCAGCCACTGTTCCAGTCCTGGCTTGGTTGTTGAATATTAGGGAGGTGGCTCCGGCCCCTGTTCCTACTTGCTGAGTCTCATTAGCCATGGACTTCCACTTAGATGACTCCCAGGCTATCAGTCACTCTTCCAATCTCCACAATGGCCATCCCCAGTCCAGCACAATACTAGATGATGTGAGCCTGCCAGTGGATGAGGACGTCCCCTTTGTTCTGGGAGATGGCATTATAGAGAAGACAGGTGCTGTGGTCATTGACATGGGCACAGGGACCTGCAAGTCTGGCTTTGCTGGACAGGCGAAGCCCATGTCTACTGTGGCCACTGTGCTTGGTCGCTTGCCAGAGAAGGCTTCAACAGCTAGCCAGCCTCAGCTGCCAACCTTCATCGGTGAGAGCGCAAGAGAGCACCCAGGACTCAGCCTGGTCCAGCCCTTGAGGAATGGCATCATTGTGGACTGGGAGGCAGCAGAGACCCTTTGGCACTACATTTTCTATAATGACCTGGGAGTGTGCCCGGAGGATCATGCCCTCCTTCTCTCTGACCCACCATTCAGCCCCACCACTAACCGGGAAAAAATGGTGGAGGTGGTGTTCGAATCTCTCCGCTCTCCGGGCATGTATGTGGCCTACCAATCAGTGCTATCTGTCTATGCCCATGGGCTGGTCAGTGGGCTGGTGGTGGATTTGGGCCATGGTGTGACTCACACTGTCCCAGTGTATCAGGGTTACAACCTGCCCCATGCCACCGAGCGGATGGATCTGGCCGGGGCCCACCTAACAGCCTACCTGGCTGAGATGCTTCGAAGTGCTGGCTACCCCTTCGGTGAAAGGGACACCTCCCTGGTGGAAACCATTAAACACCAGTGCTGCTACGTAGCTGCTGACCTCATGATGGAGCAGAACCAGCCCACAAAGGATAGCCGAGAGAACTACCAGCTGCCTGATGGACGGGTCATCACCCTCGGCAAAGAGCGTTTCCAGTGCCCTGAGCTGCTCTTTAACCCGCCAGCGATGCCAGGACTTGTACCCTTGGGAATCTCGGACATGGCCAAGGAAAGCCTGGGGAAGGTGCCCAATGAGGCCCGTGAAGACATCTCCCGGAATGTCCTGCTGTGTGGTGGGTCTTCCCTCTTCCCAGGGCTAGAGCAGCGCTTCACCAACGAGCTGCTCCGTGGGGCACCTCCCCAGACCTCCATGGCTGTGTCTGCCCAGCCCCTGCGGAACTACTCCGTATGGATTGGAGGTTCCATCCTTGCTTCTCTCCGGGCTTTTCAATCCTGCTGGATCCAACGGGGCCAGTACGAGGAGCAAGGACCATACATTGTCTATCGGAAGTGTTATTGATGTTGGCAGGTAGGTGGGTGGGTAGTAAAGAAGCAATAAAGGAAGAAGCTATATGAACCCCAAGCCAAGCCCCATGCTCTGTCCTCTCATACTGTACTCCTGTTGCCTAGTGCCTCTATCCCCAGACATTTTTGTTCTCTTCGTAGCCTCCTCTTCTTGCTTCTCCCCTCTACCCTCAGAACCACAGGCTTCTGTCTCAGAGAGGCAGCCTGGCAGACTGGAATGGGCATTGAATTTTGAGTAAGAGGATCTGGGTTTGAATCCTTGCTCTGCTATTTACTTCCTGTGTGACCTTGGCCAGATTACTTAACCTCTCAGGGCCTCAGCTCCAGGGACCCAGGAGCTCCTGACCTCTGGAATTCACAAGGATGCCTTCAAGGCTGGAAACAGCCATCTGAAGATCACATTTTAGTCACCTGTGTGCAAGGAAATAAAAACAAAGCAAAAGAGACAGCCAGGGCCTTGAAATACAGCCTCAGGATCCTCTAGCCAGCATATACATTTGATGTCCTGAGCAAGCAGCCACTAGAGGTGGGCAGGAGCCCTCCTCCACTTATGTGAAGTCTTCACAGAGTCCCAGCACAGTGGATAGACAGGAAAAGAGAGCCCCAGAGACCAGTCACCTCTTTGAAGGTGGTCTGAGTGGCCTGCTCTTCTGGGTTCAGCCGCTGACCTGCTTTGGTGCAGCGGCCTGTCCTGGCTGCCATCTTAAGATGGTTTCATTATCCCCAGCTCCTTCAAGCACTGAGCACATGTCCCTGGAAGTGACTTGGGAGAGCTCAGTTACCACTTACTTGGGATGTGTTCCACTTTCATTTCACTGGGATTGTAGATTTAGAACTGTAAGGGACCTTCATAATCATTTAGTTCATCCCTTCTCCCCATTCCCATTTTGCAGATTTGAGAACTGAAACTCAGAGGAAGGGAAAGGACTTGCCCAAGGTCACACAGCTGGGGCATGACATCTGGGATCTGAACTCAGGTCATCAGACTCCAATTCCACTCTGCCACATAGCCCCCATTTTTCTCTGGATCTCTTTGCTTGGAGCACATCCACACACGCTTGTCATGAGGTCTAGCTATGCCTTCCCCAGAAAGTTCTGCCCCTCTCTTAGTAGTGGTTTAAAGCTCATGCCCAAGCCTGGTCTCACTAGCAGCTTTTTGGACCTGATATGCCATCTTCCCCTAGAACCCATTCTTCACGCCCTCACTTTCTCCCAAAAGTCAGTTCATATCTTATATTCACTGTTTTGAAGTTCTTGGCATCTATTGGAACTCCCTTCTGGGGACTACCTTTAGCCCTCAGCTCATTGGCAGAGCAAAGATGAATGACAACCCAGTGACTTATCTTTTTCAATTAATTTCCTATCTTCAAATATTTCCCTGACTTCTCTTGGAAATGTCAATGAAGAAGCATCCCTGACCGGAAGTGGAGTGGCAGTTAGGGTTCAACGCCAATCAGTGAATCAATAAAAAGTTATTAAATGCCTACTATGTGCCAGATACTGTGCTATGAATTTGGGTTACAAAGACAAAAACGTTCTTGCCCTAGGGTGCTTATATTCTATAGGGGTGCGTGGGATGTTCAGGGAAGATGAGCACCTCTTTTGTGAGGGTTTGCTGAGTCTTTTTCAGGGCTGCTCATCTACCTTTGCTGTCCATCTACCACCCAACTTTCACCTGTGTGAAAGAAGCTGTAGCCACAGCCCTAGTAAAACAATCTCAGCAGATGGGCTAAGCCAGGTTGAGGGAACCAATGGGCCTCAAACTTATCAGTGAGGTAGGGGGATGTCTATCCCAAGCAGGTGAAGACTTGCCCTGGAGGAATGGGTGGATGAGAACAATGTGTTCCAACGGCCACGAAGGCGGCTGAAGCGGGCTCTGTGGAACCTCAGAGCTTGGTCAGACATTGAAAACGCCGTCCTGGGCCGTCACCGGTCCTCTTGACTTTTGTCTTTGCCACTGGACTTCGATGAGTCAGGAAGACAGAGTGAGGCTGATGATTGTGTGAAATTCTGCCTCACTTCAATTCCATTCATGCAAAAGTTAAGGCATCCCCCTGTGATGTCATTGGTCCTCTGAAAATGGAGGGAGAACAGCAAGAACTTATGAAAATCCCAGTAATCAAGTCATGGCTAGAAGCTTTCTATGTCTTCTGTCCCAACTTCTTGGGATTCCTCTTATACTCAGCTTATGTTCTTGCTGTTTCTTCTATCAATAGCTTCCTACAGCTTCTTCTCTTGGTTCATTGACAGCTTCTGACACCTCAAATCAGGACCTCCTGATGGCTTAGGAGGTAAAACCCAAGAAATCCATCTTTCTTTTTTTCAAATATGAATCCAACATTTCTTCCTTTTTTTCTTTTTTTTCTGTGAGGCAGTTGGGGTTAAGTGACTTGCCCAGGGTCACACAGCTAGTAAGTGTCAAGGGTCTGAGGCCGGATTTGAACTCAGGTCCTCCTGACTCCAAGGCTGGAGCTCTATCCACTGTACCACCTCGCTGTCCCGAGTCCAACATTTCTTATGTAATCTTCCTACATAATAAGATTATGTAATCTTATGTCATCTTAACATAGTCCTCAAACAGGTATTTGACATAATATTTTGCCATTTATGACTTTAAAACTCTAAAAAGTCACAGGCAAATGAGTTGACAAGCCACAGTGCCTGCTAGTCCATACTTATTTCATTGGTCTACCTTCAAACAGGCCTTCTCTCTAAAGGCATTAGTGCGGTAATTTTTTATCTGATCTGTCTCCCAAAATTTCATCTGAGAGGTTTTTTTTCCACAAGTGGATTTTATCATTTTTCCTTAAATGAATGTTCTTTGCCTGTCCCTTTCTGCATATGAAAGAGGGGCCTGTATATGTACATGTTGTGTCTCTTAACAGAATGTAAACTCCCTGAGGGCAAGGACTGCTTCACCTTTCCCTTTATATCTCTAATACCTAAAACAGTGCTTGGCACATAGTAAGTACTTAATAAATGTTTGTTTATTTATTGTTGACTGGTTCCAGGAGATTTGAACTGACATGCCTTTTGGCCTGTTCCCTGTACTCTGATGGGTCTCAGGTATGTAGCAAAATACTAATGTAGGAGGTAGCACTTGAGCTTTGAAGGGATTCTAACAGGTGAGGAGGGAGAGCTTTCCAGACGTGGAACAAAGCTGTGCAAAGGTACAGATTATCCTAGCTGGGGAGCATGCTCAGTATGAGCCCATAGTGTAACATGGTAGCCAAGAATGTGAACAGGATCTTTGGATGTAGCGAGAGAAGCAGAGTACAGGACTAGGGTGTCTGCCCAGCTTCTGCCCTGCTCAGACGACAGCTGAAATAACGTCTTCAGTCCTGAGCACTTTTGGAAGAGTTTTGGTAAGTCAGAGAGTGCCCTGAGGGGGGAGAGTATCAAGCACAGCAAAAGATCTTGAGATTGTGTCATGTGAGGATCCGTTTGAAAGAACTGCGGGTGCTTAGCCTGAGGAAGAGAAGATTCTCGGGGGAAATGGGAGCAGTCTTCAAGTATTTGAAGGGTGATCACCTGGAAGATGAACTGGACCTGTTCTGCTTGCGCCCAGAGGGCAGAACTAGATGTGATAAGTGGAAGTTCCAAAGAAGCAAACTGGGGCTTGAGATAAGGAAAAGCCTCCCAATGATGGGAGCTGGCCCAAAGTGGCATGGACTTCCTCGGGAGGTAGTGGTGCCCCCTCACTGAGCTGGGTGGCACCTTCCTAGATGGCTTGGCACCATGGTCCTCCACCCACTAGAAACTTGGACTCGACACTTGGCTCAGAGAGGTGAGTTTTTGCTTTGTCTTTCTGGGGCTGGGCCTCTAGAAACTTCCCAGATAAATTCTCACCATGGCCCTGCTTGGGTCCCCTCCTCTGCTTTCCGGCACCTCTGGATATATTGTTTTCCTCCATTACAATAGTAAGTTCCTTGAGTACAGGTACTGTCTCACTTGTTTATATGTGTATTCCTTAGTTCTTAGTACAATGCCTGGCACGTAGAAAGTTCTTAAATTAATAAATGATATATCTTTCTATCTATCTATCTGTCTGTGTGCGTGTCTATCTATCTGTCCGTCTATCTGTCTGTCTGTGTATTTCTCTATCTGTCTGTCTATCTATCCATCTGTCTGCGTGTCTATCTATCTGTCTGTCTGTCTATCTGTCTGTCTCTGTGACCATCTATTTATCTATCTGTCTGTCTGTCTATCTATCCATCTGTCTGTGTGTCTATCTGTCTGTCTCTGTGACCATCTATTTATCTATCTGTCTGTCTGTCTGTATCTATTTATCTATCTGCATGTCTATCTGTCTATGTGTCTATCTATCCATCCATTCACCTACCCATCTATTGATCTATCTATCTGTCTGTGTGTCTATCTATCTATCTATCCATCCATTCACCTACCCATCTATCTACCCATCTATCTATCTATCTATCTATCTGTCTGTCTGTCTGTCTGTCTGTGTATCTATCTATCTATCTATCTATCTGTCTGTCTGTCTGTCTGTCTGTCTATCTATCTATCTGTCTGTCTGTCTGTCTGTCTGTCTGTCTGTCTGTCTGTCTATCTATCTATCTATCTAGTTATGGCTCTGCCTTCTTGTAATTTCCTCTCTACATTCTTTTGCTCTTGCCCTCTGGGATCAATCAAGAAAAAAAATCTTATTAAAAAAATCCTTGTTCTGTAGTAGACGTCTTAAATTCATAGCCCTGGGCCCCATGCCCATGAAGCCTGAAACACTCTGGAGTACAACCTGAACAATATTAAAATGTAAGTGGGAAATATTGAACAAAATAATTTTTTTTGTTCAGTCATGTCCAACTTTTTGAGACCGCAATTGGAGTTTTCTTGGCAGCGAAGGGTTTGCCATTTCCTTCTTCAACTCATTTTACAGATGAGGAAACAGAGGCAAACAGGGTGAAGTGACTTGCCCAGAGTCACACAGCTGGTAAGTGACTGAGGGTATATTTGAACTCAGGAAGCAGAGTCTAC